GAAACCATGGTTAATTTGTGGTTAATTTGTTGTCTTTGTGGTGAAACAAGTTCATTTTCGTAAGGGTAGCGAAGAAAATTCAAATCGTAACGATCATAACTGAAAGAAGTGGCATTATAACATTTAAAATGTATAACGTTGGGTTAAATTCACACATAATTAGTTGTTTTGTATGACTATTTTAAGTTGGTTGTTTTAGTAGCGATCCGGAAGGTAGATTTAAATACAGAACTGCGATAAACATTTAAATCGTCAGCATTTTTAACTGACTGAAATTGCGGCTTATTTGAAACCCATCTTAAAATACATAACAAGATTTTTTTTTATTCCAACCTCAATAATTTGTTGTTGTGTTGGGTTATTATACATTTTTGAGGTAACAATCCAAAAGAACACTTAAATACAGAACTCGCGATGAAGAGTTTAAATGGTAACGGTGGTAAACGAAGCTTCAGCTGGATTCTAACAGGTGCGTGCGGAGCATTATTCTGAATTCTTTAAATGCTGCCAGCCCTCTGTTAAGATTCTTGACAGGTCCACGCGCCTTTTAAGCCAGTGTACAGTGAAAGTGCAGGCTTATGTCTGAGTGACTCTTGCGGGGACAGGGCTCTTGTAGCGAGGCTTTTTCAGCACCACGGGGACTCGCGACCCTGCCGCTCCTCCCGCCGCCTGCATAATTAATCCATAAAGAAGCCGTTCAATCCTCCGCCCAGCCGTCGCGCCATTGGTTGAGTGCTAATCTACTTCCTGATTTGCTGCTGTCAGTCTCGATCCAAATAAATAGTAATGCACCTGTACCAGCGTGCACAGGTTGCCAACGAGACTACGTTCGAGCTTTTAAGGTCCTGAAGACTGGGACCAACTGAGTGATTTTGTTTGCGACACAGCCCCGGATTGTCCGTGTTTATAAAAAAAAAAAAAAAAAGTTTTGAGATGAATCTGAGCTACACTTCTCAGGTCCCCCAGATGCCGGCTCAAAGGTCAACGTCGTTCTTCATTGAAGATATTTTACTACATAAACCTAAACCTTTGCGAGAGGTGTTTCCCTCGCCCTTTTCAAACTCTCTTGCCTCCCGGATGCCTCTTATAGAGTATGGATATCCACTCATGCCTACACCGATACTGGCTCCTCATCCGCATCATCCGCTACACAAACCTGAACACCATCCGTACTTTTTCACCTCCGGTAAGTAGCAATTTAAACTCAGGCCTTTACGTGAAGAAAATTGTGCGTATTATATGCATTTATTGGATGTATGCTTATAAAGTGGCATGTTTTTATTTCTTTATTTTGTCTGTATGGCTGTATGACTGGAGGATATGACCGCTATAACATAAACATCAAACAGGTCTACGTCATTCAAGTTAATATTTTAGAAATCATTATATAAACTGAACATTAATGTATGGTAAATTGGTACAGTGGAAAAAAATTAGCTTCAAATATGATATGATGTCAATTAACCTAAAATTTGCTTTGTGTTTAAATCAATTGGTTTTCTTCAAGTCAAAATATTTTACTGTATTTTTAAGGGTTAGAATTTGTAAATTCTAAATTCGCGTGATCTTATAGCAAAGAACCATGTTTTTTTTTTCTCTGGGAAATAATAATAATAATAAACTATCGACTATCTGTAATTGGGCCTACTTCATGGTTTTAATTTATTAAAATCACCTGTCGATTATGACAGCATCTGCATTTTTCCTAATCGATTTATTTATATACAGGGGGGAAAAAACAATCAGCTCGATTAAAACAAGAAATACATTTTTCTAACTTATGTTGTACGTGTTTTTCGCTTTCCGTTTTGAATTGACCTGCGCTGTTAAATTTAAAACGCGACTGAAATATAAACATGGAAAGTTTTCTGCAAGGCTGCTGCAAGCTTAATCTAAATTTGAACTAAATGTATTAATGTTTGTCATTATGTTTCCACTGCAAAAGGAATGCACATGCCTGCGTTATTTCAGCATCATCCCGAATTACCAGGAAAGCACTGCAGACGCAGAAAGGCCAGAACAGTGTTCTCAGACTCACAGTTATCCGGACTCGAGAAGAGGTTCGAGATCCAGAGATATCTGTCCACACCTGAGCGCGTGGAACTGGCTACGGCGCTCAGTCTATCGGAAACACAGGTAATAACTCTACATATTGATATATATAATATATATATATATATAGTTATTCATCATATATATATATATATATATATATATATATATATATATTTATTTAAGATCTTACATGTGTTAACAAACCTTTTATAAAAACGAATCAGGAGTTCATTAAGGCTTATAATTCGTTTGCCTTCCGTAGGTAAAGACGTGGTTTCAAAACCGGAGGATGAAGCATAAAAAACTACTGAGGAAAACACAAGACGACCAGAAAAACCCAAATGATGCAGACAGATCGCTGGAGAACACTAGCGAGAGCGAAATGCAAGAGAAATGTACAGACGGTAATAACGGCATGAGTCCGGACAGATACAAGCTGGACGACAATGAAGATGATGTCGATATTGAAGATGACATTTGCTCTCCTGAACATCTACTTTAGTATGAACCCCCCATGAACAAAAGTGTACATATTCATTTCAGTCTTTTAGATAGGAAATTATATACAGTTTTTTATTTTTATTTTGAGAGCATTGGTCTAATGTTATAGCCTACTGTTCAAGCGCTTAAGAAAATTCTGGACAGCTGAAGGACATTAAAATGATGCGTGTCTATTCAACATCATTATTATAATAATTATTATTATTACAATAGTCATGGCTTTGTGTCTGACGACCATTTTTGTAAATTTGGAATGAATGGTAAGTAATGTACTGACAGTCTGTAAATAGATGTATGATTATGTACTTGATAAATAATCATTCGAAAGATGTAACAATTAATTTTCATTCCAACTGAAGAGTAACATTTGACATTTTCAGCACTTTCGCGGGACGATGATCTTGGTTGGCATGTTGTGGACTGACATATTTATGAACTCTAAAACTGTGACTTGTCATTTGTTAAAACAAATATTGTATATAAACAAATGTGCATTGAGGGAATTATCTGACCATTCTTAAACGAGCTACGTCTTTTTTTCATAATTCATAATTTCCTCAAATTCATGAAAGCTGCGGGTTATCACAATTCCGAACACTAGAGAAACGAATAATAGTCCAGATTATTACATAACGACAGTATTAATAACATTATTACTAACAATATAGGAGTAATATTGGCCAAATAATAAATAGAAATCACATGGAAAAATCAATTTGAGTTGTCAATAAAAACTGCTTACATCATAGATACAGATGCATGAATGCATGATTTAGCTCTGCTCTTTATTTGTCATCGTTGCTTCCCCCCCTTTATCATTTATACAACCTGGACACATAAATATAAATAATAGGGCTAACTTACTTTAAGTATTATGGTGCTCAGTGGTTCGTGTTTTTAACTGAATCAATCCGTTCTGAAATCAACCGTGCAGCAGAGATCTGAGTCTGAAAGTAAGAGCATATTTTCGAAATCGGTGGAAAATATTATTTATGAAGGTATGACGTGAGAATATTGGAATTGTTCTTGGAAAATCGATATACAGCAATTTGTCCTTTTTAAACTCACATTGTGTATTTTATTGACTGTAACATTATTCATATGCCATGTAGGTCTATGTTAAATAGTTTTAAAATGCCATACTGACTCACTGGGCCATGCGTTCTGTTAGAATCCTTTTAATTTTAGGCGACTTACAAAAAGACTTAACCTACATTGTATTAGTCTAATAACAGTGTAAGTTACTTGTTGCAGTTTAGTTAAAGTGTGTGAATAACTCGATAACTTTCACGGATGTTTAAAACGAATTTCCGTCAGTATTTTTTTTTACCTTTTAGAGTTCGTAGCGATCAATTGTTTTACAACCGATTTATGTGTTATATTTCTAATGTGTAAATATTAAACAACTTGATAAAAATAGGCCAACAGTAGTAAGGCACTTTTTTTTGAAGTAGCCTACCGTCCAAAAACGTGAGCGATCTGGTGTCCTAAAAATAACGAAATATTTATTGCGAAATAATTCTAAAGCTGAAATATTTTTAAATAAAATATTTATGTTAACAAGTGTAGCAATGGGCAGACCGCATTCATTTGCGGCAACAGCCCTTTTTTTTACTCTAACAGGATATGTGGCACACTTCCACCCTTTGAAAAGCAATTCATGTCGTTTTCAAAACGTGATTCTGATTTAGTCGGGGAAAATAAAACACTGCAAGAGAATAGGCCGTGCGGAAGGTGATCAATTAAAAGATTAAGCGTTTTGCAACACATGGACGCATCTGCATGTTGCTCTAATAGCAGAGCCATCAGCTCATTTTCAGGGGCCTGCCGCCTCCTTCAGCACTGTCCACAGATCAAAGCCTGCCTCAGTCTCCCAATCCTTAAAAAGGGATGCTAATTCAACCTCCTTCATGTGCGGTTGAGAGAGACCCCTTCAATTAACCGATTTCAATGGCAGGAAAGAGAGAGAGAGTGAAAAAAGATGCAAGGAGAGTCGGTCTGGAAAGGCAGCATTTCTCATTAATTCAAAAGGTCCAGCATTTATTAGCCTCGCCTCTGAGGCTTAACACTGAAAACACAGAGTATCAAAGCAGACATGATGGGTTAAATAGAGGCTATAATCTAATTAAAATATTACATAGGAGTAAATAGCTCTTTGATAACGATCTAAAGCTTCCATTAAAGAAATAGGTGCTTGAGCTTGTTTTAGGGGGGAAATTATCACTTTAAAATACAGAAAACAAGTTTGTGGGCTCTAATAAGGGAGGCTTCAAAGTGTCATCCTTATTTGACCTATTTTTTTCTCTCGGTGAAAGAAAAGGGCAGGTGAAAGTGGATATAATCAGACTAATAGCCGGGAACTGACAGAAAATGGCATGTTACACTGGGTTAACGGTGCATCCAGGTGTGCTTGAAGAGATTGGTGCTCTTGTGCACAGACCTATTGAAACAAGGGGAAAATAGCAGGATAATGCAAACAAAACCTCACAGCATTTCATTCGAGATTTCTTTATATTGAAAAATTGTTTTTAAAATGAGTATGCAGTGGATTATGTGCTAAACACCTGTTCCACTTCCAGTGCTTTGCAACTGAGCAAGATTAGTATTACACATACAGTACACACAAAATCAACACACAAAGTTAAAGCAAGGAAAAATAGGGATTCTATAGAAGTGCAATTGATAGAACTCATGTACATGTTGCTTTTTAGTGAATAAAGGCTCTAGATTAAATGGCATGAATGGTTCTGAAGCGAGCCACGGCACATTTCTCTTCCTCGTGCCGTCTCAACATCTCCAGAGTGGCCAAATTGAATGGGTCCATTTCCTGCGGATATTGAGGCCGCATGCTCACGTTCTGCTCTCTGGGTCTATCCTTTGGCTTTGGAGGGGGTTTGGGCTTTGCAATATTTTTGGCATATTCTAAAGCCTGGGCAAAATAAAATTGAAAGATTATTTGAGATTAAAAAAGTAACAATAAGGGATTATGACCTCAATTAGAATGAAAAAAAACCAAACAAACGTGTAAACGTCTGCATGCAATATATGATTTACGGATTAAATAAAGCTCACGTTTTAAGAATGAGATTCTCTTACCTTCCTCCTGGGAACGGTGTCCTTATTGTCATTGCCCACTGGGTCCTTGGCCGACAGAGAGGGAATCCTACTTATCTTCTTGTTCTGTTCGTGGATCACATTTGAATACAGCTTCTGTCGTCTAATTTTTTCTGCCTGACAGCAGTGAAAGAAAGAGCAGCAAGATTACAAAAGGGAGCTTTAATTGCCTAAGCCATTTCTCCTCTAAGGCCCCTGTTTCTTTGTACATCCCTCCATGAAGCTACTCAACAGCAGCAAACAAAGCCAAATAAAACTCATCATCCCTTTCAGAATCAGTGTTAACACCTCTCTCAGGCTGTGAGCGGTGCAAAAACTGTTATTTTATGTGCAATTTTTACATCAGCCGAGCAGGAAAATGTCTCCGTTTGCTTTTTGAGGGCTATGCTCATTAGATTAGTTGGTCCATTTCTATTGTGTTCAGAAACACAAGTCTTTTAAATTCACAAGGAAATGAAAAGAGGGGGTTATTGAGACACGGCCACACTTGACAACTGGATGTAGCAATTAGGGATTAGCTAAATCAATATTCAACAAGGAGATCACCAATTATCCATTGAGTCTTTCTCCTAAATCTCCACACACACAAATTATTTTGATTAAACAACATTATTTATGTATATCGCCAGATGCTCAAGTCTTTATACTGAATATATAATACTGAAGTGAGTATTTACCACAGCTTCTGGTATTGTGTTTGTTGGTCCAAGACCTCCAAGCTTCACCTCCTGTTTCATGTTTTTGTAGTCCTTCAGTGTATAAGCCTGAGAAGACATTTTGTAATGCATATATATTTATTCACTATCCACATGACTGTTTAAATCGTAAAGATACTGTGAGAAAAACAGTCTTAATCCTAAAGTGCACTCATGCAACAATCTGCAAACAAAAGCACTAATCAGGTCAGGCTCCTTCGGATTCTCAGGACTCAGCCATTGGTCATGGACACCGCAGGACAGCTGTTTTCCACTCTGATCTGCTTCCTCTTGGGCTGCCACACTAGCTGTTTTACAAATTTATCCCATAATCCTATGAGACATGATGGCGGGCACAGCAAGGTGAGGAGAGCAAGCTTCTCCCAGGAAAGCAATCGGTTTTATGGTGTAAGAACCGCATAATCCGGACACAGCATCAAGTGGATATGTTCCATGACATAACGACCCTTAAATTGTGACATGGTCATGCAGCGCTAAGAATTTTACTGATCTAGAAGCACAATAGTACAGATACTACAATAATTTAAAAGGATAGTTCACCCAAAAATGAAAACTCTTTTCAAAAATTTAAATTTGCTAAAACTTTACTCATCCTCAGGCCATCCAAGATGTAGATGAGTTTGTTTCTTCATCATAAAAGATCTGGAGAAATTTAGCATTACATCACTTGCTCACCAACGGATCCTCTGCAGTGAATGGGTGCTGTCAGAATGAGAGTCTAAACAGTTGATAAAAACATCACAATAATCCACAAGTAATCCACAAAATGGCAGTCCATTAGTTAATGTCTTGTGAAATGAAAAGCTGCGTGTTTGTAAGAAACAAATCCACCATTAAGGCATTTTAACATTAAACCATCTCTTCAAGCAAAAGTCCATTCCCTGTTGTTTTCACATCAAAATCCACTGACATATTTGTTAAGAACTGTTCTGGGCTGTTTTCGCTTGTAAACAGTGCTTGATCTGTGAATATTACTCTCCTGATTCAGATAAGACAAATTTTTCATTGGAGAAAGCAATATTATGGATAAAGGACTTGTATTTTAGCCAGAAGCAATGGTTCTGTTAAAAAAAAGTTAAAAATGTTTTAATGATTAATGTGATTATTATAAACATGCAGCTTTTCACTCCACAACATATTAATTGATGGACCAGAGTCTTATGGATTATTGCAATGTTTTTATCATTCTGACGGCACCCATTCACTGCAGAGGATCCATTGGTGAGCAAGTGATGTAAAGCTACATTTTTCCAAACCTGTTTAGACGAAAAAACACACTCATCTACATCTTGGATGGAGTAAATTTTCAGCAAATTTGAGAAAATATCTTTTTATCAATACAGTGACAGTCAAAGTGGTTCGATGCTGTTTTGGACCCCATTTCTATTATATGGACAAAAACAGTTCCACAGTAGAAAGTAAGTCATACAGGTTTGGAATGACACAAGGGTGAGCAAGTGTTGCCATAATTAAAATTTTTGGGTGAACTTTCCTTCACTCCTTCAACTGAACAGACACAACTGTTGAGTTAATATAAATATTCTCAACAGTGTAAATGGCCACGGGTTATTGAGTAAGTCTGCCCCTGAGAGAGACTTTCCTGCAGAACTCAAGGTGCTAGAAGACAAAGAGGCCATCATTAAATGCAAATCACCATCTTACCAGCCCTGCTCCGCACAGACGGGGGTGCTGCTTAATCACCTTATCCTCTAACGCTTTTCAATGTCGTCTTTGTGACCGTGCCTTATATCATCATCTCATTGCAATTAAGAGTGTCTTCAATTACTTATATAATTAACCTGCTGCCTGAATCGGCCCACACAATAATTGTTACATCTGCAACAGGCCCCATTGAGATACTGTCATGGCAATTTAAAGATGTTTACTAAGTATAAACTGGGCGCTGTAGTTATTATGCTATTTGTTTTGCTATTTTGCTAATTATTACAATAATGGGTTTAAATCAGGGGTTTAAAAACTTTTTGATGCCACGGACCCCTAAATATGATTTTTTTTTACAAGGTTCTCCATTACTAAAATTAATATTAAATTATAATTGATTTTATACTGTGAGAAAAATCTACACATTATACATGTAACATGTAATATTTTAATATTTAAAATGTATTTTAAAGACTGAAAACTAAAGGCTGTAAAATAAGAGTCACATACTAGACAAAGGATAAGCAAAAAACACACTGAATCTTAACTAAAGACACATATACACACCTTATAATTTGAATTTGCCTTCAGCTGTCTGTGTTTTTCCATCTGTGAAAGGTAACCTTCTGAGCTGCTTCTGTGGATTGGATTCAACTGCTGCTCTGATCTATCTGAGCAGAGTTCAGTGTCGTTGCCATTAGTTCGGGCTATAGGGGGCAGCACTGTGTAAGGACCAGAGATTTGTGTTGGATGTGCACAGGGTTCCATGCTCTCATCAATGGGAAAAAGCTCAGGTGGATAGTGGCTGGCCTCCACTTGAGAAGACGTGGGCAATTTTAGCACTGGTATCCTATGGAAATATGAATCATAACATGAATGCTAAGACCTATGGTACATATTTTGCATATTGTATATTCTAAAGCTGCAGCGTGTAATTTCTCTGGGATTAATGTCACCAAATGGATAAATAAATAAATGTATTTCCAAAAAAAGTTGTAAAACACTGTCTTCCATTTGTTCAATAGGAATATTGTTTTTATATACATTGTTCGAGGAAAAAGTATTTATATCTCTACATTAATATCATTACATTTTTTTGGAGTCACACTATATGAAAATTTACTATCTGAACCAACTTTGCCTAAAAATGTCAATTAATCTGATGTTTTAGGAGACTTAATGACCATAACACACATAATGGGTCTGCACGGGTTTTCTCAATGATATCATTTCCTGTTTTATAAGGTTTTTTTCCCCTGCATGTTGGTTGCACATGATTTTGTTGGTCATGCCATTTCAAATATTAATAGGTCGTGAAGCAGTTTTGTTCAAATGTTTTTTCTAAGAAAGAATGATAACACATCATGCCAAAATAAATAGGTTTTCTTTTTAAGAATTTATGGTCATTTTTAATTAGGCTTTTTTATTATGACACCCTGACAATTTTTGACATAATGCTGTCCAAAAAATATTAATATGAATTTTAATTCAGAAATTAAAAACATTATCATTATAGAAGTGGTGTATTCAAGTCATTAAATGTATGAATTGCATTATTGAGTAAATTAACAGGTAAGACAAAATATGAGCGTCACTGACCCACAATAAGCTGATTGAAAAAAGACACTCTGCAGCCTTAAAAGAATACAGTAGTGTGTGAATATACTATAAACATATATTAAATACACGCATAAAGTTTCTGGACTTGCCTGCATCTGTTGTGATTCTTGAATGATGCCTTCTCAAACGTATTGGGAGTAGATTTCGCACCATGCCTCTGAGGAACACTTCTGTCCACAACTTGTACCACTTCAGACTTGGGGGCTGGTGAAGATACAACTGCTTTTGGAGCCAATCCCATCTGCCCTACTGAATTAGGAGGCACATAAGGGTAAAATGGATAACCTTGTTGTAAAATGGGTGGGTTAAACAGATTAGTCCTATCCCATTGCAGAGCTTGAGAAACAAGAGTAAAAACGGTCTCTTTCTGGGAAATATTCAGTGGCTGTGTGTGGTTGGCAGGTGTGTGGAGGTTTATGTTAAGGTTGACGGTCGGTGGAGCATGAGTGTGAGATGGAAGTCCAGACTGGTGTTGTGGTGGGTCATGGGTGTAAGCTTCCTCAGAGTCCTGTGGCAGGTGATCAGCACTGATGACTTGTCTCTCTGTAAGGGGTTTAAGGTGCGCTCTGGGTTTGGATTCAGGAGGCTTGAGCTGATCTGGGTGGTTGCTGGATCGCTCCCTCCTCTTCGGTTCCTTCTTTTCTTTATGGCTCAGCTGTAATTGGGTAAAAATTAGGAGAAAAAATGAAAATCTGACTAAAGCACTTAAGATCTATTCTGTTTTATGACATGAAGCTAAATTCTAGATGTTGTTTTTCAAAGTCTGAAGGCACAAAAGGATGATATTATCATAAATGAAATAATTTTCCCAAGTATGACGAGGGCTCTTTGGGCAAAATCGATTTGCATAAAATAATGCCCCTTAAAAATTCAATTTCAAATTCAAGTCATGAAAAAGATTTATAAATAGTGTCGCACATACTCTAATTTGCTAAAAGAATACATCCCATTGAGCAGAGATATGTTCTTATATAACTGTGGCTTCATGGATATTTTTATGACCGAGAGGAAAGAAAGACAGGAGCATTTATATAATGTTTCTTTGTGTTGAGCCTGGCATTCATGGGGGACCGACGAACATTATTCTTGTGAGGTCCGAGGCTGTGCCTCAGCATGTAATGCTTCTGATTTAGCCAACACCAGCTTGCACCATTCTTAATGGGAAAATATTTACACTCCTCTGCTTGCTGGCATTAAGGTGACCGTTCAAGTGCTCAAAATAATGATGCTTCTCCATTCCCCCTCTTTCCTCGACACAGGCTCCTTTTCAAGACATTTCAGAGGCTCCATTGTGCCTGAACAACTCTATCAGAAATTGCATCCATCACAGCAGAAATGAAATCCCGGGTGACAGTGTGCCCACCATGCAGACATTTTCATCTTGAGAGGAAACCCTCGCAGACTGTTATGCATTAGGGCAATGGATTGTGCCAAGCAGCTTCACCTACATCTGCACAGATAGAGATGGATGGAATCAATAAAGTGAGCCCTACCTTCAGGTTTTGTGTTTTTTGGAGCCACATCAGCTCGGGATCCCAGACATTGTCTTGACTCTCCGGGCTATGAGTGCTGATAGTCTCGTAGGAGGTTTGCCTGGGCTGTGAGAAGAGAAGAAAGAAGAGAAAGGGGAGTGAAAGGGTTGACTGCTTGATAAGCCTCCTTTTAACAATTCACCTGATGCCTTGTCGATGAAATGCTATTATATTCAACTATTGACTGCAAACAACTGGGGCAAACTGTGCACTGTGAGAGCGAAACAAAGACATTCATGAGTATGAGAAGAAATGTCTGGGTGAAATTACACACTGCGTTTGGCGTAAATGTATGCAGACAACTGCCATAAATCGTCCACCTACTCAAAAATGGAGCTGACAGACAGTCAGGTTTGTCTATAAAATCATTCGTCCCTGAGCGTCTGGCAAACATACCAATTCAATTGGCTTTTTATGATCAACTTTTTATTCTTAATTACTAACCACTGCTCCTCTGAGCTGACCTACATGTGTCTAGAAGAGTGTTTTATTGATTCTCTTTAAAATTATTCTCTCAAAGCAGTTTGAAGATAAGTGTCTAGATACGTCCACGTTACATCAGTGCACTCTCTCAATTTTTCTTAATGTACATGTTCAGAGGCAGAATATCTACAGCTAATGCTGTAATGAAAATCATTTAGTAAACTTGCAGTCACTTTGGCGGCCGAGGACAATTCTTGCCAATCGATAGTATTGACAGCTTGCGGCGTCCCTGAATGCATGCGGCTAATTCTGAAAGCGTGAAAAGAGGAAGGTCAAAGAGACACATGCAGCAGTGAGTGGATTGAGTTGTAACATATCCATCAATAAACAGGCAGCCATGCTGGTCTATCTATTTAGCGAAAGGCCATACGCGCAAGGAACTGATTTGTAAACAGCCTTCAACGTAGAGACACTCTGTGGACAGTTATTTATCTGCATCTGTATATTTGACTAAACCAGTGGTCTTCAACTGTGGTTCTAAAAAAGAAAGATGGATAGATAGATGGATAATGTAGATGGACTGACAGATACAGTGGGTATGGCTCCTTTAAAATACTCACATTTTGTTGCTTTGCAGTTTTTGTTTTATCCAGCGATATTTACTCAATGGAACTTATAGCATCCAAGTGAAAGATATAACAACATGTCACAAAAACAACAAAAAAAACAATCACTGAATAGGAAAATGGATTACCCAATTGTGTCAGTATTTTGATGAACCACCTTTTGCTTTAATTACAGCCTTTAGTCTGTTGGAATATGTTTCTACTAACTACTAAACACATCTAGACTTTGCTATATTTGCCCACTCTTCTTTGCAGAACTTCTCAAGTTCAGTTAAATTTGATGGTTACTGTTTGTGGACTGGAGTCTTCAAGCCATTCCATGAATTTTCAATGGGGTTTAAGCCTGGGATCTGACTAGGCCGTGCAAGGACATTCACCTTTTTCTCCTTCAACCACTGTGTGGTCAGTTTTGCTGTGTGCATTGGGTCATTGTCATGTTGGAAGGTAAACCTTCATCCCATTTACAACTTTCTGGCAGAGGGCAGCAGATTTACCTCAAGAATTTGATGGTATTTTGCCCCATCCATTTTGCCTTCTATGCTGACAAGTGCTCCAGTCCCTGCTGCAGAGAAACACCCCATAACAGGACATTACAACCTCCATGCTTTACTGTAGGAATGCTGTTATTTGGATGGTGAGCTGTATACCATGTGGCCTCAGAATCTTCAAGGTGCGTTTTGGCAAAGCTCAGTCGTGACTGCATGTGGCAGTCTTTCTTTATAGTGGCTTTTTTCTCACAACCCTCCCATAGAGAATTTGTGATATTGTTGTCACATGCACACAATGATCACTATTTGTCAGAAATTCCTGCAACAGCTTCAGAGTTGCTGTAGGCCTCTTGATAGCCTCTCTGACCAGTTTCCTTGGCTCTTTCATCCAGTTTGGCACGACGTCCTGATCCGGGGAGGGTCTGTGTTGTACCAAATACCTTCCACTTCTTAATAATAGACTTGGCATTGATAAAGCCTTTGAATTTTGTATCCATCTCCCTCCTTGTGCCTGTCCACAACTTTATCCCAGAGATCTTCTCACAGTGCCTTGCCACACATAGATTATTGTTTGTTTCAGTTGCACTGCCAAGGACTGAAATGCTCCAGGAAAGCTCTTTTCATGCTGAGCTAATCAAAATGACCACAGCAGTAATTTTTAGGAGGAGGTGATCCTTTTTCTAACTCGGGGATTCAGGTTTTTTTTTTTTTTTTTGACATGCTGGTGTTATATCTTTCACTTGGATGTAAATACAGCGGGATAAAACACAAACTCTGTCCATCTTTATTTCAGGCTTCAAAGCAACAAAATGTGATTATTTTAAGGGGGGGGGGTATTTTCTACTATATACCCACTGTAGATAAATAGACAGATGCACCTATAAAATTGTTTTTAGTTGATATATTTCATCATATTTACTGAACATAATACGAAATGTAACATACTATGTTGAATTTCTTTTCATTTCAATTTAGTAAATTATTAATCCTGTGGGGAAATTATCAAATTCCTGTGGGGTTTAGTCAATTCAAATCATGAACTAAAACGGATCCAATGCTTCAATTGTGAATTTGTCTAACCCTGGTTCTGAGAGGGTTGTTTTTTGGGGATTTCAATTTCACACAGTCCAGAATTGAAAACTGGAAAATTTGAAATTGCACCAAAAACAATATTGCAAAACAGCGAACAGGCAATGCGCAGACGTTCATAGCAGTGGTCCTCATTATGAATTAAAATATCTTTTAGAATAAAATCATATTGTAATATATGTTGTTTGCTATGCTGCAGGTTTAATAGGAGGCTGCGTATCCAACTCATTTTCCTGTATCAGGCAAGTATCATTTCAAGTAGAGAGATTGAGCTCTGTTGTAACAGGTGCGTGAGTAGCAGACATCACAGACCTGCCCTTCATGTCCTCTTAGCCGCAGCAGGCCACAACCTCTGCCCCATCCATGACCACTGCCTTTTGTCCGTCATTTTAATAATCTCAATCAAATTGAGGAAATGATCAAACAAAATTGCATTTTGAGCTTCATAAGCTGCGTAATATCTATTCTGTTAAATTGGGGCCCGTAATTGCCTCTTGGGCCGAGACGTGGCACAACAAAGTCAGGCGATTGGAGCTTGCCATTTTCCTCAAGACTGGGAAACACAGCTTTTGCGATGAAGACTTCAAAGGGACGCAATTCTTGAATTGCATTTGGTTGCTATTGTGACCGCCCAGGCAATCTTGATTAGGTGTTTACACTGAGGTAGGGTATACAGTGGCAGAGAGCCACGGAGCCTTGGTCTAGAGCTATTAAGAGATTGTACATTATGTTCCTGGCTTTGAAGTGAGGGTCTGGGGGATGACGAGGGATTGGGGCTGAGTGCAATGGCAGAAGATTGCACTGCTACTTCTGTCTTTATCAAAGGGGTCTCTGCTGGAGCTCATCATCACTCCCACACACGCCGGTTGGAAGTTGGTGCATTATGAGATTGTGTACATTTAATAACACAGCTAATTATCGGGAGTTAGAGGTTTGTGAAAGAGTAAATAGTGGCTTTTTAAAAGCCCAACAGACGCGCCTTGATAATGATGCCGAAAACTGATGGGAGCTGAGGGGCTTTTTATTCCCTTTGAAGGTAACGGGGCCACAAAATAACAAATAAAAGGGCAAAAGTGTAGGCTGTGTATCAAATTTACGAGCAGATGCTTAGCTACATAACGAACGTGAGGTATGAGGGTTTTGTGCTCTCTCTCATAGTAAGCAAATGACAAAAAAAGCAAAACTTTAACCAAGTGGCAGAAGTATTTCGATTGCTCTTTATGTGTTACGTTATACTGCAAAAGCCTTGTTGTATGATAGTTTGCACGTGTGACTGATTTCCTGAAGGAATTTAGACATGAATGTGTTCAAGCACTTCCAAATATACAGGTGCATCTCAATAAATTAGAATGTCGTGGAAAAGTTCATTTATTTCAGTAATTCAACTCAACTTGTGAAACACGTGTATTAAATAAATTCAATGCACACAGACTGAAGTAGTTTAAGTCTTTTGTTCTTTTAATTGTGATGATTTTGGCTCACATTTAACAAAAACCCACCAATTCACTATCTCAACAAATTAGAATAAGACTTCATAAGACCAATAAAAAATGTTTTTTGTGAATTGTTGGCCTTCTGGAGAGTATGTTCATTTACTGTACATGTACTCAATACTTGGTAGGGGCTCCTTTCGCTTTAATTACTGCCTCAATTCGGCGTGGCATGGAGGGGATCAGTTTGTGGCACTGCTGAGGTGGTATTGAAGTCCAGGTTTAAACGTAATTTTAAAAATCAACATCACTGCACTGTGCATAAAAAAAAGAAGACATTTTTGTGCCCAGGTTGGTTTACTGATCATATTTAAATACACTCAACTCATCTGTACCTGGGATAAAAATGGACCTGATGGATATTTTTCATAAACAAAAAAAGGCCTAAACATTTGTTTACTCTCTTGGAATAATACATACTGAGTTATCCAAAGAGCATCTCTCAATCCCCTTTAATGGCTTTTAAAAAATCTATACAGGTTTAAGAGCACTTATTAATCTTTTGAAAATGATCTGTACTGATATTCACTCTCCTCCAGACAGATTATTAGAATATTTTCTTGGGGAAATCCTGGAGTCACCACTCCACTGGTTTCTTTTTCAAGAGAGGAGAAAATAACTCAAAATAAAACATTTTTCAATGAGTTGCCACTTAAAAGACTTACAATGCCGCCTTATAAATGGAACTTGACAGTGCACTATATTTCTCGGAAAGACAATGCACTGAATTCATACCAGGGCACTGCTGGCGCATTTAGGGCACCATCTATAGCAGGGAGAGCTTTGCTCCGTTTACCATGTCACAATGCTAACGGCTCTTCACTATGCTAATGCTGCTGATGTGAGACATTAAGGTGGGACTGGGCTCAGATGGGCTGGGTAAGGTCTTAAATGTAGCAAATACACATGGGCCACACTGTGCAGACAAGCCAACCCTGCCAATTATACCATGGGCCAGGTGCACTGATAACTAAGAGCCTATTGGTAACCATGCCCCTCTGATGTTCTTAACAGCCACTGTTGTGCAGATCAACTCATAATAGGCACCACATAGGCAGACATGATTCATTCTCTTCTCTCCACTCCATCTGAAGACTCTGTGTGTCTGCCAAATTAATTTCCGCAACACAGGCAGTGTAGTCTCCTTCAAACCAGAGCAATGAAAACACCAAGGTCACTTATTCAGATTAAAAAAGAGCAAAGATAAAGGTCAGGTCATGCTAGACATGATATGGCCCGTTTTGTGTGCAAAAAGAAAAATGTGAACCTACACACAATCGAATACATAAAAAATTATGTATCTAGACTAAATACACAGATTACATTAGAAAACTTTTCATAATAAATCACAATTGGACTTAACAACAAATGCAGTTAACCTGAATGTTGAAGTTCTATTTAAAAAAACAAACATATAAATATAAAATATGTTTATTATAAAACATAGGCTGACAGCAATGGACATTAGTCACTATGTTTTTATTTATTTATTTATTTTTGGACATTATGTAGTTCTATAGCAATACTTAAGTCATGATATTGGTAAATTTGAAATAATTATACAAATGGAGTCATCTTGAAAAATAAAATATCTATGCAACAGTAGCCTTGGGCCTAAACTGCTCTGATATATGACATTGAGCTGTATGCTGTGTTAGTTCACCCCCTAGTGGTCAACAATGGCACTTCAATTCAGTCACCAATGCTTCCAAACAATTAATGTAATATGTTTAGGTTTACATAAACTAAACGTAATCATGAATGGCCTATAGGACAGAATAAGAGAAGACAAATTAAGAAATAAGGATATTATTTTCCCTGTGGAAATTTTAAAAATACTTACTTGCTTTGTTTCATCGGTTTTATCTTTCTGCTGACAAGCTTTTAGGTAAGACCCCTGCTTATGTGTGTTGATACCAAGAGTTGCTTTATTACGTTCCACAATGTCTTCCCTAGCTCTCACTGGCCTTGGATTAGAAGGATGTCGAGAGCTTCTCTTCTGGAGAGGAACTGATTTGATATTCAGATGCTTTACATTATCCTGTGGTGTGCCTTCAGAGGACATGCAAGAACTTTTTGATTCGGGGGGATCAATAATGTATTCCTGTTGTGGGTGCAGGTGGAAAGGAGATGAAGGTGGTGGGGATAAAGCACTGTCCGTCTGAACTGTGGGTGGATTACTGACAACGACATATTCTTGCTTGCAACCTAGAGGCACATTCTCCAAGGGTTCAAGACTGTCTTCAGACTCTTCAAACGAGTCGAGAGAAAGTTTTGCATTTAGCTGGTTGAGAAAATAAGCCCCTTCCAAATTCTTCCTCCAGTTTGGGTCGTAGCGCAAGTCGGCGTATTGATCCTCAGGGGGAGATTCCCTGAAATATTTCAAAAAGAGTTAAGAATAAGTAAGTCATAAACACTTAAAATGAGCTTTAGGCTGGGTACGTCTCATTTAGTGTTTTCGACATTGTCAGTAAGACAGTCTGAATGCCTGAAACAGCCATCAAAACACAAGGGAAAAAAACGGCTACACTTCTCAGCTGAAGCGAAATGGTAATAGCGTGTTGTCGCGCTATTACCTCCCCCCCCACCCCACCCCTAATGACTATGGGTCTGAAGACCACAATTTGAAGATAGTTTTGCAAATGGCTAATTCAAACATATGAAATAGGTTCAAACTACAACCTAATGTGCTCCTAGCATCATTGGATGAAAAGATCTCATTAAAATAATTAGAAGAGTGCCTCTTTGTTGTGTGCCTCTGAATAGTAAAAGATGCTCTTAACATCCCATGATGCCAAATACAAGGCTGTCTGGATGCATAGCACTTCAGCCAATGAGGGCAAAAGGGCAAGGAATGGCTCTGTAATGATTCCACTGACATGGTCTTGAGAATGCGCTGTGGGTTTGCAGCTGTGACGGGGTCTTTAACATGCAAAGTCTCTCTTTGAAATGTGTCAGAATTAAATCCAATAATAGGAAACATGGTCTATTGTTTTCAGCTAATCTCATTCTGAATACGAGACTTGAGTCTCTTTAAAGACAATGCGTGCGGTTAAGAGGATGTAAACTAAATGGGTGGTTATTAGCTTCAATGATATTATGCCAAATATTGCTACCACGCCATTCATTTGCAGGATTTCATTCTTGAGCATGAAAATATGATGAGAGAGCTGCTTCGTTTCGACAATAAAGTCTTTGTCGAGGTTCGCTATAGCTATTATGAAAAAACTATGCATGGGGTTAAGTACCTGTCTAGTATGCAAAAAATGAAAACAAACGGCTCTCGTTTTTATCCCGAGGCAGATTTTGAGTGGCGGACACAACAGCTAGGCTGAAGATGAAGGAGTGGAGACAGATGCTGTGATCCACACTTCAGATTCCAGCAATCTGTGTTTCAGAAGCACAGAGAGCTCATCCATTCACTGGTAACAAAGCAACTGCTTTTTAACAGACTGCTGAATGAGACCTTATTGTGGTAACGTCCTGCAAACTAAAATTCTAATTTCCCCCAAAAAGAAATTAGCCGATTTTGGGATGACATGAGGTAGAGTAAATGATGACAGAATTTTATTTTTTGGGTGAACTATTTAAATTGTAGCAGATATTCAGTGTTGACTTGCAATTAATATGAAGACATTAACCATCTGTATAATTAAAATTGTTTAAAAAATAGTTTGAGATGAAATAAAGCATTTGACATCACAGGAGGAGACTGATGTCACTGCCTGAAACGCCAGTCGCCAGGTCAACTACTCAATTACTGCTGGTTGCATGAGGCTAGTCCCATACGGTGGGGAAATAGCAAACTTTTATCTTACCTCAGAGGGTCATGTTGTCCTTTCACTTGTCTTGGTTTCAGATCCAAAAAAAGAAATTAGCCGATTTTGGGATGACATGAGGTAGAGTAAATGATGACAGAATTTTATTTTTTGGGTGAACTATTTAAATTGTAGCAGATGTTCAGTGTTGACTTGCAATTAATATGAAGACATTAACCATCTGTATAATTAAAATTGTTTAAAAAATAGTTTGAGATGAAATAAAGCATTTGACATCACAGGAGGAGACTGATGTCACTGCCTGAAACGCCGCCAGGTCAACTACTCAATTACTGCTGGTTGCATGAGGCTAGTCCCATACGGTGGGGAAATAGCAAACTTTTATCTTACCTCAGAGGGTCATGTTGTCCTTTCACTTGTCTTGGTTTCAGATCCAGACTATCATAAACATCAAGATTCTCTGGTTCCTCGGTGTCAGTCTTATCATGTTGTTTGGGTTTAACAGCAGAGATGAGGTCAATTCGCATCTGGAGCTCTCGCTGGTACTCCTCTTGCACCAAACTCTCAGTATCGGACTCTAAGGAGTCCCACATTAGCGGTAAAGCGGGCACATTATTCTTTGGACTAGTCATTGTTCATGTTGAATTTGACTTTTGTCTGTTCCAGCGCCTCAGGCCCGTTCTGCTCGTGATGGCGTTGTTGTTCTGACTTCTGAGACGATCGACTTCAGGGCTTAATATCACAGAATCTACATTAAGGAGTGGTGAAAACACATTTTAATTTAGCTAGCGACATTACTGAGCGTTAGTTCATTCGGTTGTTGACTGACTTTCCAAATCAGCTGTGTAACTCATGCTGTAATGTAAACGCCGAAATAATGTAAAACGTTGCTACAGCATCAAAACATTACCTCGTACACAAATCCATTGATTTGCTCCAGATTTAAGGATTTTTTTGTACCTGCTATAAACATCGAAAGATGAGCCGTTCGTTGCCAAGGAACGTTTCGTTTGCTAAACTGTTGCCGTGGAAACACGCATGCGCAGAACTATTCCTTGCCCTTCAGACGGACACAAAAGCATTGAACAGTTGCGAACGACTTAAGGTGTAGGAGGCCACTACGTATTTTTCTTAATAATTGTTAGCGTTCAGTAAGAATGTATTGTACGTAAATCGTGTGCATATACAATAACTATTCTTAAAGGGGTCATATGATACTTTTTTAAAGATCATTATTTGGTGTAACAGAATATGTTGACATGCTTTAATGTTCAAAAAACACATTATTTTTCAAATACTGTACATTATTGTAAGTCCTCTATGCCCCGCCTCTCTCAAACACGTCGTTTTCTACAAAGTCCCTCCTTCCGACAAGCGCAGTCTGCTGATTGGCCAGCTGACCCAGTGCATTGTGATTGGCTGAACACCGCAAGCACTCGTAGGAAATGTAACTCCCCTTACCATAATCGCGAGCTTCATCTTTCAAAATAAATGTAAAGACAGAGCCCGAAAGGGGAACAGAGTCGTGACAGACAGTGATGAATATGTGTTTGCAGTACACAAGCCACGGTTAAGACAGCTGACTCCACTGTGATGTGATGTGTGTCTCTCTCTCTCGCTCGCGCACACACACACACGCACGATGCGCAAAACTCCACATTTGAACAGTCAATAGCAAATACTTAAACTAATAACAAAACAGTAGCCGATTCAGAAGCGCCAGATTGTCATAGCAAAGTCAGAATTACCTCCTCTCCTAGGTTCACGAAACGGTCATTCATAAAATTAATTGCTATTCTGTTGGAAGTAATCTCAAATATTCCTAAATGCATCTACTTTCAGAAGGCCAAATAAAGTGCTTTTGCTTTCGCCTAGAAACACACAGCGGCTCCCTGACATGGCTGCATCAACACTAACTGTGGTTACTGAAACCACGCCTTTTTTTGCTTGCACATTTGAGCGGCATAATCCAAATATTCCCACAGTGACCTAGATATGTGGGGGTGTGTTAGAATGAGCTGTTTTAGGGGGGTGTGGCAGTCTTAACTTTGATAAAGAATATCTCTTTGGTTTTGAGACTTTAGTCTTTGCAACTTCAGGGATCTTATCTATGCCCAATCAGCTTGTAACACTCGAAAGAGAAAGGAAAACTTGAAATCGCATCATATGACCCCTTTAAAGTAATACGATTCTCATGGTGCATTGATGTCATGGTCATGACATCCAGTGGAGTAAAAAGCTTTTAAAGCAATTTTAACCATTCAGGCTGAGGTTTACTGTAAACACCGTGGATGATCGGCTTTGACACTTACACTATATATAGATATATGACCTCAGTCATTACAAAGCCAAAATGGCTGAAGCAAAAAGCTAAATGATGCATTGGATAGATTTAAATACATTACCCTGAGGACAGTGACACATTCTTGATATTTAGAGGTTAAACAAAATTAAAGGTCAAACTCCAAACTTTGACCAAAAAACAGAGGCAGTACTGGGAATAGGTCACCATTTTATTCACTTCCTTCAAAGCATTGAGGCAGTTGGAAAAGGCTTATGAAATTCACATTTCACAAGTCAATAAATAGGTTGTGCAATCTAGGTAGAAAATCTGTTCCCTGTGATCTGGAAATGTGACCCGTTAATACCCCTTTTTTAAGGAATAGGTCACCATTTTATTCACTTCCTTCAAAGCATTGAGGCAGTTGGAAAAGGCTTATGAAATTCACATTTCACAAGTCAATAAATAGGTTGTGCAATCTAGGTAGAAAATCTGTTCCCTGTGATCTGGAAATGTGACCCGTTAATACCCCTTTTTTAATTTTTTTTTTATTTTATTGCAACCATCTCTCTACAAGTTGAAGTCATCCAAAACTTCCACAAAAGTAACAATTTTAGAGGAGTCCAACTATAGAGGGCAACAGTAAACATTGCTATGGAGGTAGCGTAGTGGCTTTGGAATGGCTTAGTCGACCTCCTCAATGGTTGGGCCGGAGGATCCACCTCCTGGAGCAGAGCCGGCTCCTGGGAAGCCACCGGGCATACCATCAGGCATTCCACCTGGCATGCCTCCAGCACTCTGGTACAGCTTGGTGATGATGGGGTTGCATACCTTCTCCAGCTCCTTCTGCTGGTGCTCAAACTCCTCTTTCTCAGCAGTCTGAAAGTTTTCAAACAGACGTCAAGTCACAGAGTTTGCCAGTGCAAGCAATTCAAAAACCACTTGATTGGCCAAATGTCTAAACGGATAGCAAACTTACCTGGTTCTTGTCAAGCCAACTGATGACTTCATTGCACTTGTCAAGGATCTTCTGCTTGTCCTCATCACTGATCTTGCCCTTCAGTTTCTCATCCTCAACAGTGGACTTCATGTTGAAGGAGTAGGACTCCAGACCATTCTTGACAGACACCTTGTCACGCTGCACATCATCCTCAGCCTTGTACTTCTCTGCCTCCTGCACCATGCGCTCAATGTCCTCCTTGCTGAGACGACCTGAAATGGACTTCCAGTTAACCTCTAAAGTGGCCACCACAAAGTCTTTAAATATTTAGGTGTAGAGGAGAGAAGACTTACCCTTGTCGTTGGTGATGGTGATTTTGTTCTCCTTGCCAGTGCTCTTATCCACAGCTGAAACATTCATGATGCCATTCGCATCAATGTCAAAGGTGACCTCAATCTGGGGAACACCGCGAGGTGCAGGGGGGATTCCAGTAAGCTCAAACTTGCCCAGCAAGTTGTTATCCTTGGTCATTGCACGCTCACCCTCATAGACCTGAAAAGGGGGTAATTGAAACAAGACAACATTGTTTAAAGTAATCGACAAGACATTGGGTGGGATAAAAGACTAAACCCCTAATAGAACTATTTCGTACCCACCTGAATAAGCACACCAGGCTGGTTGTCAGAGTAGGTGGTGAAAGTCTGAGTCTGTTTGGTTGGAATGGTGGTATTACGCTTGATGAGGACGGTCATGACTCCACCAGCGGTCTCAATTCCAAGGGACAGAGGAGTGACATCTGGCAGCAGCAAGTCCTGAACGTTCTCCGACTTATCACCAGAGAGGATGGCAGCCTGGACAGCTGAAACAAAAGTGAGAAATAAGAACCTTGGACAAATTGAGATGGTCAGATAGCAATGACAGCAGTCGCTCAGACATCCAAGGAAGGTTCTTGGGCCATCTTTGGTCTTTCAACCTCTGGTGGAAACTACGAATGGCAAGGAATCAACTTCATCA